TTTAGTAGAGACGGGGTTTCACCATGTTGACCAGGATGGTATCGATCTCTTGACCTCGTGATCCACCCGCCTCGGCCTCCCAAAGTGCTGGGATTACAGGCTTGAGCCACCGAGCCCGGCCCTGCTGTCAGGTATACTTTACCATCATAGTCACTTACCTGCCTCTCCAGTGTTTAGGAAGCCCAATAACATTACCTAGGGACCCAAGCAACAGATTCTGTCCTCATCATTCAACCACTGCTTTCTGGTCCCCTAAGACATTTACTACCAGAATCTGAAGTGTGCTCTCCTTAATGTGACCCATGGCTCACACACCATAGCACACATTAGATACCATATATTAGATGTCTCCAGTATCAATCCCTTCCCAGATACCCCAACCTGTATGTCCAATTATGAATTTGATGCCGACACTTATTTGTGTCCGCCTCTTCACATGGCCAAAAGTCATCTTGATATCTCATAATATTCTAATTATGTCTACTACCAACATGCTCATCTCAGTTGACGCAGCTTCCATAGCTAAGACCAAAAACCTTGGGTTCCTGATTGCTCTCTTCATGCCCTTACTTTGCATATTAGGAAATCTAGATGCTTGAATCCAGCCACATCTCCTCAGCTATACATCCAGTCTGTTAACCTTCACTTGGATTATAGCAAGAGCCTCAACTCTCATCTTACTTCCTCCTCCCTCAACCCCACAGTCTGTTCTCCATTGTAGAGCCAGAGATTACAGCCAGATCAAACTGTGGCAACACCACCTCCTCCCTCTGGTCAGTTTCACCTCTAAGCATTTCACATCCTGGTACCAACTCCTGGGTTAACCTCCCAAGTATGTTTATACTGTTTGACAGAAATGGGAATAACCTCCACATATCCTGTGTCACAGACTTAAGATCCTGGGTTTAAGGTTTCTCCAGGGCTCTCAGATCAAAAAACTTAAAGGAAATGGTACCTAAGAGTCCCAGGACACCTCATATGCCCAAAGAGCATGTGGATGGGAGTTAGGGCCAATGAGGGAATGGAACACCCTCCGCTTCCCTGTGAAGGTTCTGCAAGTGCTTCTGCAGCCAGGAGTGCCTGAGAGGAGAGGCACAAGCTACAAGAATGTGTCCCTGATGGGATTTGATAAGCTCAGGTCTCCCTGAACCCTTTCTTGGCCCTGTAACCAGGTAAACGCGGGTTGGTTGTCTGAACTGAACGCCTCAATACAAAATGTCATCTCTTAGCATCTATGTGATCTACAGAGGTTAAACAAGAATTCAACCTCTCAGGGCCCGAAAGTTATCCCCTCTGTTCTTTCTTTCTTTGGACTTTGGGAAACCTTTACAGCCTGGACTTTGATCTTGTCCTTCCTTTGCTGGAAGCTGTCCATGGCTTCTAACGTTCTCAGGGTGAATGCACAGTCCCCAGCCTGCTCTTCCAGAAGGAGCTCTGCCTCACACGTTGCTCCCGACAGGTGCCTGTGGACCCTGGGTTCCGATCCTCCCGGCTCAGTTCATCTCCAGACCTTTGCTTACACCGGTCCCTGTGCCTGTCGCTCTCCTCAGCGCATCCCGCGAGCGCCTCAGGGTCCCGACTCCAGGTTCAGGCTGCAGAGCCTTGAGCAAGCGCCGCTTGCTAGCTGCTTTTGGACTTAGGTAAAGATGAGGTGACCTGAGGGCACGGAAGACGCCACAATTACCTGAGCCGGGAGCCTCAGCGCGGCCGCCGCCATCAGACTGGCTGGGGAAAGCGGGGTCGGGAGGAGGTGGCGAGCAGGGCAGGTACCCGGGGACTGTGGTCCAGATCCCGACGTTGGCGCGGGTCACGCCTGGCCTTTAAGGAACTGCAGAGCAGCCGTTGTGCCGTTGGGATAAGGTCTTCTCTCCACCTTCTGGGTTCAGTCACTTCGGCCAGATCCAGCGCTCGGAGGTCTCTCACGGGAAAAGACACCCAACACCAATCAAAATGGCCGCTAGTAGAGGACGCCGGAAGTCCCGCCTTTAAATTACGCGCGCTCGCGGAAACACCTTTATTCTGAGCCTTCATTGGCTCAGACAAGCTGTCATACGATGTAGAGATTTCTGGGTTATGTAGTTTCCTAAGGCTCCAAGGCGGTAAAGAAGGCGCTTCTGCAGGAAAGGTCCAGCTCCACCTCAGCGGTCTGTCCTTAAAGTACGCGTCCTTCTAGGGTAGAGGATAGTCTTACCTAGCCTTAGAACCCGTATTGAGATTTTTGGAAATTAATATCTGTAACTGATCACTCAAGTATTTGGAAAAATTTTATTTTAGATTTTGGGGAACTCAGCTCTCCGACGCTAAAATTATTTAGGATGCCCCCAAAGGCTAAAAAATCCAAATTATCATACCGTTTGGAACAGTCCTTCAGTCGCAAAATCCCTGTACTGGAAGCAGGGGCTGATAAATATTATTGTGCGCTCTAAGGCATTAGAGTCAGTTTCTCAGTCTGTCAGGGACAAGAGAGAACTAACCCAGACAGGACAAGACAAGGAAGATAGGAGAGATGTTGTGCTCCCTAAAGTAGGAATACATGGTGAATCTCTCTCTGTGATTTCCACAGAAAACAACTCTCTTGCCTATAAAATCAATTATAGTGTCCAGTTCCTTGAGCAACACTTTTATTCACTTAGTATCCCTTGCTTGAGATTCTAACTTATATTCAATTAATCTGGGAATGTTTTATCAGTCCTACAAGAAGACCAATGAGATAAATGTTATTTTGTAGTGATAAATGGCTGCAGTTTTACTTTTTTTTTTTTTTAAAGATGGGGTTTCATCATGTCGGTCAGGCTGGTCTTGAACTCCTGACCTCAGGTGATCTGCCCGCCTTGGCCTCCAAAGTGCTTGGATTACAGGCGAAAGCCACCATGCCCAGCCTTTTCTCTCTCTCTTTTTTTTTTTAAGACGGGGTTTCCGTGTTGGTCAGGCTGGTCTTGAACTTCTGACCTCAGGTGATCCGCCTGCCTTGGCCTCCAAAGTGGTTGGATTACAGCCGTGAGCCACTACGTCCGGCCTTTTTTTTTTTTTTTTTT